TTTCTACAGGAGAAGATTCTGTAGAGCCATCTAGTGAACACTCAAAGTTTGTAATTGAGCTACCACGGAATTTGAAATATGACTGGTAGCCCTGACTGTCGCCCAACAACTCGTTGTGGTACTGAGGCACATTGTGAGTTGGAAGTGGCCGACTTGTCCGCTCCACTTGTTCCATATGTTCAAAAGACCTATGAAGAAGGTTCATCCAATGATGAAGCACATCTACAGGTTATATGCCAGACTGTGCAAAGAAAAGAAGGGACAGGCTGTGATTGGGAGAGTTTGATTTCTGATGCTGCTGACCTGTTAATTTTTTATTCCCCCAATGGCACCGAGGCTTTCAAGGGGCTGATGCAGAATTCTCTGGACCCTGCAACAAGATTTTGTACTTCTCTTGCGCCGCAGCTCACGCAAAATGACGTTAATGATGAGCAAAACATGCAAGTCCTTGATATGGTTGGTTCTGGCGGACAACTTGAAACTGAATATCCTTCCTCTCAATATGGAGAAGCTAGTCAGCTGGAAAGAACAGAACAGATGGAGGACCATTTAAATAATTGTATGGTTAGCAGTCAAAGTGAGAAAGAAGATAATAAAGTGGAAACACCCATGCAGTTCAGTTGAAAGGTACAGTATGCAACAAGGTTCCATCACCCACGTTTCAGTAACATTTGCATAGATATATAATGAATAAGTAGCCTACTCCTGTTCTGACCCAAAAAAAAAAAAAAAAAGTAGCCTACTCCTGTAGGTTGTACGGTAAGAGTTGTACGTTTGTTTGTACTAATTTTATGTGTATTTTCTGGTTACCCTTGTGCAGAACATTTATGCCATCTTGATAGTCTTCTTTAATATCTATTTTCTCTTGCTGATTCTAAAGAGTTGTGACTTGTTTGTTTATATCGTTTTCATTGCCTTTTTATTTTACTTCTTCGGTTGTACTAATAGTGTTATCTCTGTTTGTGTATCAGCCTGCTGTTTTAAATTTGCAACGTGGCTTGAGAAGGCGCTGTCTAGATTTTGAGATGGCAGGAGCTCGCAGGAAGAGTTTAGATAATGTTTCAAACAGTAGTTCTAATATGCTATCTCAATCTGATGAAAAAATCACCACAAATGATAAGCAACTAGTTCCTATGAAACCCGGTGGTGAATCCTCACGGTGCATCTTACCTGGAATTGGTTTGCACTTAAATGCTTTTGCAAAAACCTCAAAAGACTACAAAATCATTAAGTGTGAAAGTCTGGCTTATGGTAGGCAACTAAGTTTGCCCAACTCCACTGCCGACATTCATTCCCCCACCGGTGGTCAAGGACCTGGTCATGAATCTTTATCTTCAGCTTCTTCAGAAAGTGACATGGATGGCACTGAAAATGGGGTTCAGCTGGCGCACGATGCTTCCCAAGAACCTGCATTTTTAGCTAATGAAGAGTTCAACCAGAAGAGCCCCAAAAAGAAGAGGCATGTGCTGTTGACTAGATATTCTCCATTAAATTATTGTCCTGTTGATTTTCATTTTTCATGTAATTGGTTAGATTTTTTGTATATTTATCTATCATCTCATAATTTTCATTGGATTTGCAGGCGCAGGTTTGACCATGCTGTAGAAACTGAGTCTTGCAAACGTTGTAACTGTAAAAAATCGAAGTGTTTGAAACTGTAGGTTCATCTCCCTTTTAGTGAAGCCTAAAATTTTTGTTACGTCGCTTGCATTGAGATATATGCATCTGGTTGATTAGTCCATTAGAAGTCCTTGAGTTTATTATTTGACTCGTGATACTATTCATGTAGTTACTGCGAATGCTTTGCTGCTGGTGTCTACTGCATAGAACCATGTTCATGTCACGAATGCTTCAACAAGCCTATCCATGAAGATACTGTTCTTGCAACTCGTAAACAGATTGAGTCTCGCAACCCACTTGCATTTGCTCCGAAAGTGATTAGGAGCTCAGATTCTGTTCCTGAACTTGGGGTTAGAAAATAAGTCAACTCTTCTATGTTCTTTTTGCTAGTTGAACTGCAATCTAACCTGTAAAAGTTGTTTTCACTAGCAGGAGGAATCCAGCAAGACCCCAGCTTCTGCACGACATAAAAGAGGATGCAACTGCAAGAAATCAAGCTGCCTGAAAAAATACTGTGAATGCTATCAGGTTTTCCCCTCAGCATATTCTGTTTGCTTATAAAATCCTATTTAATCTTATTAACATTTGGTTTTCTTTTAAAGGGCGGTGTTGGATGCTCTATTAGCTGCAGATGTGAAGGCTGTAAAAACGCATTTGGTAGAAAGGATGGTGAGTGAAGTGCTATGCTTGGCATGCCTTTGATTTCTTATCATCTTTACATTTGTTCCTATGAACTTCTTCAAGTGTGCTTGCTGATTAACTTTACATTTGCTCCTTATTCTTTTGGAATTCAGGATCTTTTATAGGAACAGAAGCTGAGCTATATGAGGAAGAAGCAGAAGCATGTGAAAAGAGTGTGGCTGAGAAACATCAACAGAAAATTGAAATTCAGAAAAATGAAGAGCAGCGCCTGGATTCTGCTCTTCCCACAACGCCTTTACGGCTTTCCAGGTTTAATTCTTAAACTATTTGTGGGTTGAGAAGTTGATGTTTCATTGTTATAACATCTCTAATGGTACAATTTGTGTTCCAGACAAATGGTTTCACTGCCATTTTCATCAAAGAACAAACCACCGCAATCTTCTGTTTTTAGCATTGGAGGATCCTCTTCTGGATTGTATACAAGCCAGAAACTCGGAAAACCAAATATTCTGCGACCCGAATCCAAGTTTGAGAGACATAGCCAAACTGTTCCAGAGGATGAAATGCCGGAGATTCTTCAAGGAGATGGATCTCCTAGCACTGGCGTCAAGACTGCTTCTCCCAATAGTAAGAGGGTGTGCCCTCCTAATAGTGACTTTGGGCCATCACCTGGTCGAAGGACTGGTAGGAAATTAATTTTACAATCCATCCCTTTGTTTCCGTCTCTCACTCCCCAGCATTGAGAGCATTGCGATGGTCAGATTTTCGTTGCGGAAAGTAGAACAAAATCTTTTAGTTTGCTTAAGATAAGTTGTTTAGTTTCTTTCTGTATGTCATTTATTAAGTTAGTTTTGTGTACTTGTGTAATAGTATGTGGTATGGTATCCTGCTCTCATAATACCCAACTCTTCCTTGTATAATATGGAGTTTCAATCTATAGTCCATCTTTTCCCCCCCTTTTGTTTCCATGCTTCTCATCTTTCTCTGGCCACTTAACGAAATAGCTGTTTAAAAAAATTCTTGATCCTTTTAGTATAAGATTTTCCCTTAAATTGGCTTTACTTGAATTCTCTGATCTTGCTCAACCACAGCCCTGAAAGATAACAGGACAAATCTTTTGACGAACCATTTCATTTCACCAAGGATATGGGATTATGAGATGGAAACTTGGAAGGTGAATGTCTATTCGCACAAAAAAAAAAAGTGATTTCCACATCCAAACTATAATTTAGGAAAGGCCAAAAACATTTGCTCAACGCATTCTACAATACTTCAAAATTGACTCTTAAGAAAGTGGATTGGATGAACATCCATGATTAAGTTGAATTTATGATTTGCGAGATAAAAGCATCTCCAATTGATATGTCAAAAGTGTCACATAGACATTTAACGCCTAGAAATAACATCTCGCATCACTTAATGATGCTCTAAGTGGATTCCAGCCTATGTGAGACATGTTTTCTCTGTTGGAATGTCGAGCATCACTTTATATGATAATTGAATTGAGTACTAGAAAACATATAATTAAATTGCAAAGAAATAAAGTCATTTATGTCATAATAATGCACGTGTGCATTCGTGTATATGAATTTTGGTACATCTTACACAGCTTTACACTTCACCCAATATGTCAAATTAAATTATTATTTTATTACATTTTAGTGTTGATTCATTTTTAAGTAAAAAGAAAAGAAAAGAAAAGAAAAAATAATAAAATATTCATTTGACATCTTGCTTTTGGGATGTCAAAAATAACATATCAACCTCCAGCCTTCATTCCACATAAGCTTTGACACATCGGTTGGAGTGATGTGAGATGTTATTTCTAGCTGTTAAATATCTATGTGGCACGTTTGACACATCTGTTGAAGATGCTCTTAAGTGGATTCCAGCCTATGTGAGACATGTTTTCTCTGCTTGAATGTCGAGCATCACTTTATATGATAGTTTAACTGAGTACTAGAAAACATATAATTAAATTGCAAAGAAATGGAAGTCTAGTACTCAGTTAGTATTTTTTTTGGGTTTGATTTCTGAATGCGAAACTTCTGCACAATCTGGGTTTTCTGAAGATTGAATGACAAAAACTCGTGGTTCAGCTTGGGGTGAAGACGTAGGGCAGAGTCGATGAGATGTGAAGACGTAGAGCAGAGGCGATGAGATGTGAAGGAGGAGGCGGAGGCTTCAAAACCCGTGGTTTAGCTTGGGTTTACAAAACCATCATACAATGGATTCTTATCCGGAGAAAAAAAAGAAGTCACAGCCAGTCCAACGTGCAATTTAGATTCACCAAACAACGACTAGGACTATAATTCATTTTAATTGGAAAAGTCCAGTCCAGTGCAGCCCACCAAACGGGGGCTTATGTCATAATAACGCACGTATGCATTTGTGTATGTGAATTTTGGTACACTTGGTGGTTCTATTGCTGTAATTATGTTATGACCCATTTTAATATTTTTAATTAAGACCCAAAACCCATAAACAGATCTTTAATTATTTTTTGTCAACATATGTTTTTACAACCAACGACGTCGTTCATTTGAGAGTTTATATTACAGAAAGAAAAATGAGGTCTTCTTCTTCCTCAGAGCGCCGCTCCTTTTTCTTTTCCACCATCTCTCTTCTCTTCTGCATCTCTCTCTCTCTCTCTCTCTCGCTCCCTCCCTCCTCACACGCAGCGTCCAGTGTACCTCCTATATTTTCTTCTTCTTCTTCCTCCTCTCTCTTTCTCTCTCTCTCTCTCTCTCTCTCTCTCTCTCTCTCTCCAATCTTTCCTTCTCTCTCTCTTTGGCTTCTGGCTTCAAGATTGAGCATACGCGTATCCGTTAGTCAAAGATCGTATCCGTTGACTCCAATACGTATCCAATGCGTATTGGAGCGTATCCGATGCGTATCGTATCCGACTGCGTATCTGATACGGGATACGGACCTAAGTCAGCGTATCCATGCTTCTTGGTTGAAAACGCAATGTCGTTGTTTTTTGGATGGGGAAAACGATGTGTCGTTTTATTGTCACATGTACAAACAATTTGGAGGGAAATTCAGTTATTCTTTCAGAGCTCCCTTCTTCTTCCTCATACGCATTCTCTGTCCTTCTTCCTCATACCCATTCTCATTCTCTCTCTCTGTGCAATTCTGCAATTCTGCAACTCAAGATCACAGAAAATTCTCAGAGTGAAAGATGAACGGAGAAGAAATCTTCAACGAACTCCTCCTGCAAATGCTATCATCGGGCATTGGATTGCTGGTGATTATTCCTTGTCTTTCTTTCTGACTAAAATGACTATAATCAAGATTCTTAGGGTTTAGGAAAGATTATGATAATATGTTTTTTATTTTATGAAATCTAGAGCTTGTAGTTGTCTGAGGTCAATGAATTCATTAGCATCATTAGCATTTCATACATGTCTTTAATATTAGCATCATTAGCATTTTATGAAATCTAGAGCTTGTAGTTGTCTGAGCCTTATAGGTCTGTGACTTTTGCTTACACCTAGCATATGTATGTATGATCTGTTTTTGGGTATTGAAGTATTGATGATACTGATTTGAAGGTCACTTTTTGTTTGGGTCTGTTGGAAATGGTTGGATAACTTTATTTCTGAGCATTATTAGGTTTTGATGGCTCTGTTTTCAGTAACTCGTGTCACTCTGATCTCCTTACTCTTAGGTTACTTTCCGGGTGCAAAATTGCTTTTTCATCTGTTTTATTCTCTCTTCAAAAATTGAGGAAACTTGGTTAGGTTATTTTAAACTGCGTCAAAATGTCAGGTACAACACTTATGTCATAGATGATGGATTTTCCTACAATTCACGGATGAAAAGCTGATGTGAATTTAAGAATGACTACAAGCTTTTGATAGATTTCTGATCTATGGGAAGTGAATTTCAAAAAGAAGACGCAATCATCTGGTTTCAGCTTATATTTCCAAGTCCTATTTCTAGATTTCATACAATAAAAACATATAATCATAATCTTTAAGAATCTTCATTTCTTATTCAGATTCATATCATTTTCTCCAAAAGACAGCTCTCATTCAAACAATTTTTATTATTATTTTAACTTTTATTATTTTCTGATCAATGGGAAGAGGAAAAAAAATGCACCTGTGAGTACGCTGGAAGCTGAGGGCGCACTGGAGCCACTTCAAGTGGATCCACAGGCTGGCCATATCTCTCTTCAAAAATTGAGGAAACTTGGTTAGGTAACTGCGTCAAAATGTCAGGTACAACACTTATGTCATAGATGATGGATTTTCCTACAGTTCACGGATGAAAAGCTGATATGAATTTAAGAATGACTACAAGCTTTTGCTAGATTTCTGATCTATGGGAAGTGAATTTCAAAAAGAAGACGCAATCATCTGGTTTCAGCTTATATTTCCAAGTCCTATTTCTAGATTTCATACAATAAAAACATATAATCATAATCTTTAAGAATCTTCATTTCTTATTAAGATTCATATCATTTTCTCCAAAAGATAAAAACAAATTATCTTGCACTGATCTTGCAAAAAATCTCATCAGTGCAAGATAATTTGCAAGAGCATTTGAATCTTACTTTATAATTGTAGTTGTCTGAGGTCAATGAATTCATTAGCATCATTAGCATTTCATACATGTCTTTAATATTAGCATCATTAGCATTTTATGAAATCTAGAGCTTGTAGTTGTCTGAGCTTTATAGGTCTGTGACTTTTGCTTACACCTAGCATATGTATGTATATATGTTTTTATTGTATGAAATCTAGAAATAGGACTTGGAAATATAAGCTGAAACCAGACGATTGTGACTTCTTTTTGAAATTCACTTCCCATAGATCAGAAATCTAGCAAAAGCTTGTAGTTATTCTTAAATTCATATCAGCTTTTCATCCGTGAACTGTAGGAAAATCCATCATCTATGACATAAGTGTTGTACCTGACATTTTGACGCAGTTTAAAATAACCTAACCAAGTTTCCTCAATTTTTGAAGAGAGATATGGCCAGCCTGTGGATCCACTTGAAGTGGCTCCAGTGCGCCCTCACCATCTAGTGTGCCCTCAGCTTCCAGCGTACTCACAGGTGCATTTTTTTTCCTCTTCCCATTGATAAGAAAATAATAAAAGTTAAAATAATAATAAAAATTGTTTGAATGAGAGCTGTCTTTTGGAGAAAATGATATGAATCTTAATAAGAAATGAAGATTCTTAAAGATTATGATTATATGTTTTTATTGTATGAAATCTAGAAATAGGACTTGGAAATATAAGCTGAAACCAGACGATTGCGTCTTCTTTTTGAAATTCAATTCCCATAGATCAGAAATCTAGCAAAAGCTTGTAGTCATTCTTAAATTCACATCAGCTTTTCATCCGTGAACTGTAGGAAAATCCATCATCTATGACATAAGTGTTGTACCTGACATTTTGACGCAGTTACCTAACCAAGTTTCCTCAATTTTTGAAGAGAGATATGGCCAGCCTGTGGATCCACTTGAAGTGGCTCCAGTGCGCCCTCACCATCCAGTGCGCCCTCAGCTTCCAGCGTACTCACAGGTGCATTTTTTTCCTCTTCCCATTGATAAGAAAATAATAAAAAAAATTGTTTGAATGAGAGCTGTCTTTTGGAGAAAATGATATGAATCTTAATAAGAAATGAAGATTCTTAAAGATTATGATTATATGTTTTTATTGTATGAAATCTAGAAATAGGACTTGGAAATATAAGCTGAAACCAGATGATTGCGTCTTCTTTTTGAAATTCAATTCCCATAGATCAGAAATCTAGCAAAAGCTTGTAGTCATTCTTAAATTCACATCAGCTTTTCATCCGTGAACTGTAGGAAAATCCATCATCTATGACATAAGTGTTGTACCTGACATTTTGACGCAGTTTAAAATAACCTAACCAAGTTTCCTCAATTTTTGAACAGAGATATGGCCAGCCTGTGGATCCACTTGAAGTGGCTCCAGTGCGCCCTCAGCTTCCAGCGTACTCACAGGGGCATTTTTTTTCCTCTTCCCCTTGATCAGAAAATAATAAGTCTTAAAGATGAAAGTGCTACAAAAGGTGTGGAGCTTGAACAAATGAAAGAAAGAGTTAGCTCCTTGGAAGGTGAAGTTGGTGGACTGATGGCCCAGCTGTCTGCATATGTTCCTGTTGTAGCCTCATTGAGAGAGAATGTAGCATCTCTTCAGCACAATGCCGTTCTTAGAACAAAGCTTCTTGTGGAAAGCAATCAACAATATAAGGTAATATTTTGCCTCTTTTGAGAAACATTAATGATCATGATGATTCAGAAGTTACAATCTGAGCTAGGTAGTTGCTCCATTTTTGGTTTTGACAGCATGAACCCAAATTAATTGGCTTGAATTTCAAGGGAACCTTCAAGAACATAGAAGTGTATCTGTTTAGTGTGTGTTTTTGGCCAATTGGCATGGAGGAAATGTGTATCTAACTGCTATCATATATTCACATGAAATTCCAGTTAGTTCTGAGAGTCCTGTTTATATTAAACTTAAAACATTCTTGTTCTGGTGAAGGCCTTCACAACAGAAACATATTTGAGAAAACAAGTCTGCAAGTTGTCTTTAGTCTTAGTGCTAAAACTAATACTAAATTAACATGCTTGTGTCTGATTGCACCACTCTGACCATCGCCATTGCTAGCTGCTGCTCTTCTTCTTTCTTCTAATTAGCTTTTTGCTTCTAGGATATTGAACCACAAAATTATCTACGTCAAAAGAGCTGTCAGGATTCCAGAGAAGATCGAAGCATATTGGTACCAGACGGAATTTCAGAATTGGAAAAAATGCAGACTATGATCAAAGAAGTTGAAAAGATGTTTGTAGAAGAAACAGAAAGGCTTGCAATTGAAGCAGTTGAAAAGGCAATGGTGGAAGAAATGGAAAGGATTGCAACTCAGGAAAGTACAAAAAACAGCAACATCAAAGTGGAGGTTTCTGTGGAGATCGAAGAGCTAAAATCAGAAGGTACCTCACTTCAAGGAAAAGGCAGTAAAAGTGAAGAGCTGAAACTTGTGAATGAGTTTACTGATGAAAATCTCAAGTTGCAGAGGATGAAATCTGATAATGGGACTTCGATGAAAGATATTCCGCTTGATCATGTTTCAGATTGTTCATTTTATGGAAGAAGCGGGAGAGATAATGGTGGGGCGGATGATCAAATGCTTGAGTTATGGGAAACTGCTGAACAACACTGCCGTCAGGATCCAGTGACCAGTGAGATATAAAATCAGGCATCTGCACCAAGGGATGATGTGGCTTACCATCAGTTTGCAGATTCGCAGAAGATCATTCAAAATTCTTCTTCGGAAGTTCAGGCTGAGAAGGAGTTGGGCATTGACAAGCTAGAGGTGTCCCTTGATATTCAAGGGCCAAGTCATGAAGGCAAGAAGGAAAAGATATTGGAGAGACTTGCTTCTGATGCTCAGAAACTGATAAGTCTGCAAACAATTGCTCAAGATTTGAATAAGAAGATGGAGACAAACAAGAAGGGTAGAAAGGCAAATGGCACTGAATATGAAACAGTCAAGACACACTTGCATGAAGTTGAGGAGGCAGTTGTGCAGCTAGCAGAAATTAATGATCAATTGAAAAAGAATATCGAAGAGTCTCCGTTGAACGAGCAGACGTCCATGGAGTTGGAGGAGGCTGGAAATGTCCGGAGAGAGAGAATACTCGAACAGGCAAGTAAAGGGTCTGAGAAGATTGGAAGGTTGCAGTTTGAGTTACAGAACATTCACTATATTTTGCTGAAATTGGAGGATGAAAACAAAAACAAAGGGAGGAATGGATTTTACGTAAGTAGAACAGGTGTTCTCCTGAAGGATTTTATTTACAGTGGCAGAAGTAGTGAGAGGCGCAAGAAGGCTCGTGTGTGTGGGTGTATGAGACCCTCCACAAATGGAGACTGGGGAAGTAACCACTTTAGAGGGAAGCATATTTTATTTGCTTTTAAGTTTTCATTCCATGAAATGGTCCTAATATTATTACCTTAGCAAATCATTTCTTGGATTAGTTGGTGAAAACTGAACTGTATTAGCTCAGATTCTCTGTAAGATTTAGGCTTGATCTAATCAAAATAAGATGCTTCCTTCTGCTTTTCATCTCATAATAAAGTGTAGAAACTACCTCATTTTTATTGGAGAAACTCAAAATAATACAAGCTTCTTTTTTTTATTCAATTCAAATGTTTTCCAATAAGATGGGAAATGGATAGAGTTGAATATTAACCGGATTTTTAACCAAGACCTTCTTGGGTGTGTATAACATCTGAAGCAGGAATTTAATGGATGCAATGCTTCATGATCCCCAATTTCAGATTTCTATACATATCTTTTTTACCAAATTATTATTATTTTTTAGAGTGGTGGTTCTGTTGGCATAATTCAATTCAACTGATCATATATTGGCAACGACAATCAGGGAGAGACAAATGCTCTTACTCTTTGAAACAACACTTTATTTATAAAGAGTAACATTATTAACCCGAAGTACTCACCTCGCCTACCCACCTATCCACTCTAAAATATTTAGAGAAACCCATCTGCCAAAGTCTACAAAATATCACCATTGCCTCGCCCAGTGAGCCCACCCGCATTGCATCCAAGTTTGAATCCAAATCCTCTCACAATTGATTAGATTAATTTAGTCTAAATTAGACCATCACTTGTATTTTAAATTAGACCATCACTTGTAAACCCCTTGAGTTGGGAGCTACCTTAGGCCTTAAGTTGGGGGGCCTGGTCATGAAGCAACACCAACACCCTGCTCGTATTTCATTTCATGGAGCACCCACTTAAAGTTGAGGGCTAGCTTTGGAATTGTGGCAGTGCTTCAGGCAGCCAATGTCTTTTTTCTTTATCCATAAATCGGGACTCTAAAATCGGCTACTGCCTTCAAAATTGGTGAAGCTGCAAAATAGCTTCCCAACACTTCAAACTGACATAGGGAACGGAACAAAACACATCTGCCGTTCAGCCTTTCTACATGTTTTGCCAGTCGACTTTAATTGTACCGATTGAATAAAGGAAAAAAAATTTATAAAACAACAAGCGGAGTGATGCTATTTGGCCTGTACTTTTGGTACACATTACATGGTAGATCGAATAGGAATAATATAACAGACTGTAAAAAGCAGGATTCAAAGATAATCTCGGATTAAATATAATAAAAACTTAGTATTTGGATTAAAGCACAAAATTTCGGTCAAGCAACTTTCTTTTCCTCCAGCTAGAACATAACAAGCAGCAAGTAATATGGTCTTCAAGTTCACAAAACATAAATTGAGCAACTCTAAAATAGAAGAAAATGGACAAAGGCTGCATTTAAGCTCCAACGATTTCTGGTGGGGGCTCAGTCACTGCTTCTTCAGCAGGTCTTTCAACCTTCAGACCAATATCTTCATTACCACCATGGACCTACAGATACAAAGTCCATTTTACTTCATTAATATCCAGCTACTGTCGAAATGCATTAGTGTGTGACAGATCAAGATGCAAAAATGCCACCAAAAATGATTTGAGATGAAGCAGATGTCATGGAATGAAGGGTTTCAAACTATTACTGAACTCCTAATCCTCAGAATGAATATAATAACGACAGAGAAGCTCGAGTATTCCAGAAGTACTATGGTCAGGACTCATTTATATCTTAATATGTTACAAATGCCCAAAAAAAACAACGTTTGCACTGTCAGTCAACTCTGCATGCTAAAACAGAAAAAGGGCATACCTCCATTAGCTTGGTAAGATCAAACTTTGGTGCTTTCAAGATCTTGACTTTCCGGATGAAGACATTTTGCAATGGATAGATGCTCATGGTTGCCTTCTCAATCTCTTTACCGATACTCTCAGCAATGAACTTGCGAACCAAGTCCTTTAGATCACTAGATGTCGCCTGGGCGACCATGATCTCCCTCATCTTACGGCGGATCTGACAGAATCAATGCAACATTACATCATGTTACAGCTAAACAAAGACTTCCGACTACGCCTAAAAGCATACATTTCATGGAAATATTTCTAATATAAACATGCAAACCCTAAAGTCAATATTACCTGTCTAATCTGGCTAGATTGTGCATAACAGGTCCTCTTGACCTGATTTGGACGTCTCTTGGTGAAGCCAATGCAGAACAACCTGAGAGTGTAGTTGTCTGTGGTCTTCACATCCACATGAGCTTCAATTAAAGTTTGCCATTACCTCACCAATGACCTCAACTTGTCGGTTGTGAAGTTCATTCCCTGAATAATCCAATAAAACATCAGTAGAGGTGGAAATAAATTTATATTAGAAATCATTAAAAAAAAAATTAAAAACATATGGACATTATAATTTTCTTACCCAGAAATTTGTAAGAACATTCCTCCCTTGGACATCTTCAGCTCTCAATCGCATCTTTCTGTAAGCATTTTCCTCATCACCCTGAAGGTCAGCAAGCGATACCTCAAAGACTCTATGTTTGAGTCCTTCTGAAGCAATCTGTTAAAATCCCAACACTTGTTAAGAGTATGAATTATGTGAACAATTAAAGATATGTGGTGAATGTTCTTATGCTCAACAATAATTGCTTTACAAGTGTGCATGAAGAAAGATGTATTGACCATATAATAGCTTTACAATTTTGCATGTCATACGCAACAACAAGAGTACTAAAAGCAATGATGTCAAATTCAAATATCCAGCTTTAAATTCCAGAACAGAATTGAGTAAATAAAAAGTTTTAAACTCAGAACTGAGGAAAATATCTCAAACTGACATGAAAAAGGGGTACTCCAAACATTATAGCTGGCATTAAAATTCCACTGAGTATTGAACTCAGAAACAAATGCAACAATGGCTCAACTTCACGGTAAAATACATCTGAACAATGCTAACAAAAAAAACCATTTTTCATGAATCCCAGTTTTCCAAACAAACAGATAACAGGGTAATCCTAAAACTCTGAACAGATGCAATCCATACATTAAAAATCAGGACATAACAAGTTCACAGATTATGGTTCAGCAATAACCACAATCTAATCAACAGCAGCCTAACCCACCAACTGATCCAATGAAGCCAGATGCAAGCAACTCTACAGACATAGATGAGACTAAAACTATCTTCTCAAGAGAAATTGGAATTAGGCTAATCCCACAACTACTTTCACCGTATACCACAAATTCACGAAAACAAAACTACTCAAAAACTAAAACAAAAATGAACCCAAATATATATATACACACACATACATACACATACAGATAGAAATAATACATTGGTACCCTGAGTACGGGAGACGAGGGTTTTACCCACATTTTTGTTCTGGAACAACGAAGGGGCCTTGATATCATACCAATCCTTCTTGGCAAACGGATCAGCCCTGTATTTTTTCAAATACACATACAAATACAAATGAATAAACCAATAAATAGGCAAGATTAATACTTATAAACCAAATTGTATGAAATGTAAAATGAAAACAAAACTACACAAAAGAAACCCAGATCTGTAGTAAATCCTGAGTAGATGTAAGAAATGAGCTTACGCTTTCTTCTTTCCTCCTTTCTTGGACTTGGAAATCCTCTTGTTCTTCCTGTGTCAAACAAAGCTGAATGTGTCAGTGACTCGTTTAGGAATTTAACAGCTGAATATACGACTGCGAAGTATGGATAGGTCTTGCCCTTACTGAGCTGGGCTCAGGTTATAGTTGGGCCAGAGTTTGTAATTTTGTTAAAAAAAAACACGAAGGCTCAAGTTATGACTGGGCCTTATATGAGAAAGCCCAAGAAAAGGCCTATATTTCCGGAAAGGCTATAATGAGGGCTTAAAGTGATGAGGTTATTTGAGGAGGTCAAATCTCACCATCAACAAATGTAAAGAAATCATGAGACTTAAATATTTTAAATGTTTTGACGGTCGGATCGGTCTCCTCACTTTAACTCCTCACTTTAACTCCTCGTTGTAGAAGCTCCCCCTATATTTCTGGGGTCTGGCTCTGTCTCTGACCCAAACCCATCATGTCTATTATGTTGATATAATGGGACATGAGGTCATGTGTTCGAATCTCTTCTCCCCCAATATCGGTTAGGTAAAGAAAAAAATTATGTTACGCTCACTTGTTAAGTTGTTAAATATTTATAAGAGGAGTGAAACTGATCCTCTTGTTTGTTGGCAAATTTTATTTTATTTTAAAAAAAAGTGAGTGTGGGTGAGAAAATGAATTATGAATAGGTTAGGTCAGAAGGTTCAATTTTCTTTCA